AAAAATTGTTACTTCGAATGGATCCAGGTGGATCCAGGAATATTGAAGTGAAAAGAGTATACTTGTAAAATTTGAAATGTTGTTATTTAATGTACTTGTGCCCACCTCATAGTGTAACCATCATTTATTCTAAAACAATTGAAAAATGATCAACATAATATAAATAATATAAAAGGAATGCCACCATGCTATTATTTTACTAAATCTAATTATTTTTCACTATTCGTTCATTTGATGTTAAAAAAAAATTTGATCTTTCCTTACCTTTTTGGTTTTATTTTTTTTATTTTTTATCTACCACGTCCATCTAATCGGAGAGGTTTCTTTTCTTTTGTTCGCTGCGGTCTAACCCTTTGATCAACTAACCCCAGAAATAATCAATAACCGAATGAGTGCGATAACAACTAAAAATAACATACAATAATAAAATAATAAATAATAATAATAAAAATAAATTGTTTGTTTATGTCGCAAACAAAGTAGTCTATATATATATATATACAGTTCACTCTCTCTATAACGGCCCATTTATAACGGCCTCCATTCTATAACGCACTGTAAATCAGAAACCAAATTTTTACTATATAAAAACCTTACTCTATAACGGTTTTCTTAATTAAATTTCCTATAGTGTATAACGGCCAGCCTCTGGAAATTCTCTCGTATGTTTTATATGTTGTCTATAACGGCTGACGATCATGATCTGAGGTAATCATTATCAAATTAAGAAATTGAGTGTGTCACACACAATTATTAATATTAATATTAATAATTTGAACGCGCTTATTGTCACAATACTCCCACTCATTCTATTTCTGAATTCAACAAATTTAACTAATGTAAGAGTTTACTTCTTACCATCAAACACAACAAATTTTTACAACAATGTGATGCTGGGATAATTAACAGCTTCAAGGTGAACTACAAAAAACTTTTCTTGCAAAAAAAAATTAGTGATTATGAAGAAGAGAGAAATGGTCAAGAATATGAAAAAATTTCAATTAAACCATGCAATTAAATTTACAGCAAAAGCTTGGAAAAAAGTTACCAGTCAAATTATAGTTAACTGCTGGAAAAAAACTGGTATCTTACCTGATTATGATATTAATTCAACGAAATTGAAAATATGTCATCAATTTTAAATTTATTGAATGTAAGAGAGCTCAATGATTTGCAAAATTTGATTG